GGGTAGTAAGCTGTCCCAACGCCAGGTTGAGAGTAGTTTCCGTGGAAGACCTCCGGCAGTCAGAAAATTAAAAACATAGATAAAATGTAAAGCATGTATAAATAAATACATAAATACATAGTTGAACAATATTCATATGCAGTCATAAATATCATTAATATTATATGCGCGTTTGAAATGGGAAGTAATTTCTTGTAAATAAGTCTATGCGAAAAAATCTCTGCATATAGACATAAACGTAAGACCCGACTAAATTTAAAAGTGAAGAGAATATTACACAGAAGTCCACGATAGCAAGCCCAGTTCTAAGCCTTCATAAATACCAATAACAGAAACGTATAAAAAGTAGAATTCATGAAAATTACTACAAAGACATTAAAAGAAGACAGAGATTATACATCCTAGAGATGTGACCCACACTACTCGACTATCCTAGTCTTTAGTCTCCATACTTTCCTATCAGAGATCATGTCCTCGGTAAGGGCTAAATTCATCAAATTAGATCTCAAGCAGTCTTCCCACTTCCGCCTTGGTCGTCCTATCCTTCTGGCACCGTCGACTGTAATCGACTCTACCCTCCTGACCGCATCCGACGGTAGTCGCCTAAGGACAAGCTCAATTTTTCAGAAACAGGCACCACCTTAAGGACATCCTAATAGTAGAGTTTGTTGTCATATCCCACAGAGTCCTACCGCATGTCCATCGAATCATTCTCATTTTTGCAGCCTCTATCCTCCTTACATGATCCTTCTTGGTTGTCTAACATTCTGATCCATACAACAACGCTGGTCTTATTGCCATTCTATAAAATTTTCCCTTAAGTTTTATAGGCATCTTCTTGTCACACAAAACTCCAGTAGCAGCCCTCCACTTTAGCCATCCCTCCTTTATAAAGTGTGTTACATCATCATCTACACCCCATCTTTATGTATCATAGACCCTAGGTACTTGAAACAATCCTTTGAGGGGAGAACGTGTCCTTCTATGCATACTTCTACATCTTCATCGTTTTGGTCTCCACTGAAGTTTGAACATAAATACTTTGTCTTTTCAATATTGATCCTTAGACCTTTTTCTTCCAAAGCAATCTTTCAGGTAGTCAGTCTATTATTCAACTCAGATTTTGTTTCAGCAACTAGGACAATGTCGTCAGCGAAAAGCATACACCATGGTACACCGTCTGGTGTCGCACAATAGATGTCGTCCATAATCAAGGCGAAGATGTAAGGATTAAGAGCCGACCCCTGGTGGAGTCCGATTTCCACCGGGAATGACTCAGAGCTCCCGAATTATTATAATTTTAGACTATAATTTTTTTAATACTTATGAGCGTTTCTGGACTATCTTTATTAATCAAATATGAAATATTATTCTTCCTGTTCTTTATGATGAGATAGTACTGTATATGTGGACTTTGTTGTAATTGGCTATTGAAGTTTGCTCGTGTTTCTTATTCTTGTTATAGTTGACTGGAAATGCAAAGACATCATTGGCTAGCTCTCCTCTGGTCAGATGGGCATCCTTGGCTAGACCATTCAGGTATTTTATTGTTTCTTCTAAATAGATTCATCTCAATGGCTTATTATTTGCTAAGATATTGTCATTTCTGCATTACAGCTCAAGACCTGTTGGAAACGATGTTATCGGTATTGACTTGGGTACAACCAATTCATGTGTGTCCGTGATGGATGGAAAGGTAGATTATATTTATATTTGTTGAAGTATGTATTTTCTTTTGTGTTTTGGGGAAAATGGAACTATGTTACTCGGATTATTATCTTGCAGAACGCTAGAGTGATTGAGAATTCTGAAGGAGCTAGAACCACGCCGTCTGTAGTTGCCTTCAACCAGCAGGGGGAGCTAATTGTTGGAACTCCAGCCAAACGTCAGGCTGTAACCAACCCAACAAACACATTGTTTGGAACCAAACGTCTGATTGGGAGACGTTTTGATGATGCTCAAACACAGAAGGAAATGAAGATGGTGCCTTACAAGATTGTTAGGGCCCCTAATGGGGATGCTTGGCTTGAAGCCAATGGAAAAACTTACTCCCCGAGCCAGATTGGTGCATTTGTTCTAACAAAGATGAAGGAAACCGCTGAAGCATACCTTGGTAAAACGGTGACTAAAGCTGTCATCACTGTTCCTGCTTATTTTAATGAAGCACAAAGGCAGGCGACCAAGGATGCTGGGCGGATTGCTGGGTTAGATGTTAAAAGGATTATCAACGAACCAACTGCTGCTGCACTTTCCTATGGAATGAATAACAAAGAGGGTATCATAGCAGTATTTGACCTTGGAGGTGGAACTTTTGATGTTTCTATATTAGAAATTTCTAATGGGGTTTTCGAGGTATGCTTGTTTTTCTTTACATGATTTGTTCATTGCTTTGGTAAATTGATTCACTTAGAGAGCATTTTTATCAGGTAAAAGCAACAAATGGAGACACTTTCTTGGGTGGAGAGGATTTCGACAATGCACTATTAGAATATTTGGTGAGTGAGTTTAAGAGAACTGATAACATTGACCTCTCAAAGGACAGGCTTGCCCTGCAGAGGCTACGAGAGGCAGCTGAAAAGGCTAAGATTGAACTTTCATCTACATCCCAAACAGAAATCAACCTTCCATTTATAACTGCTGATTCTTCAGGAGCAAAACATTTAAATATAACACTAACCAGATCCAAGTTTGAGGGTCTAGTCAGCAGCCTGATTGAGAGAACTAGAATTCCATGTAAGAATTGTTTGAAGGATGCTGGAATATCCATCAATGAAGTGAATGAAGTATTGCTTGTTGGGGGAATGACTCGTGTCCCCAAGGTGCAAGAAATTGTTTCTGAAATTTTTGGAAAGTCTCCCAGCAAAGGGGTTAATCCTGATGAGGCAGTTGCAATGGGTGCTGCTATTCAAGGTGGTATTCTCCGAGGTGATGTTAAGGAGCTGCTTCTGTTGGATGTAACTCCTCTGTCACTTGGAATAGAAACACTCGGAGGAATTTTCACTAGGTTGATCAACAGAAATACAACCATCCCTACGAAAAAATCACAGGTTAGTAGTATGATACATTTTGTATTGCATCAGATATATTAAAATCGGGATGGTGCAAGAATTTCACCGGTAGTGTCTAAAATTCTTCCAATAGATATTGTGTGAGAGCAGCTTAATATATTTTCTAGCCTGCAACAGAATATTTACATAATGTTTTAACAATGCACACCTGTTTGCTAAAATGGATCTTACCATTTTTGTGTATGCAAGTATTATTGCTGTTTCAATCGATAGCTTAGTGTTTTTGTGAGCTGGTATTATAGAAGTTTAATTTGTCAAGCATCCTCACAATTTACATCTTAAGAGGTGTCGGGTATCTTTTCGACAAAAAATAATACTAGCTTTTTTGATTTCAGGTTTTCTCTACTGCAGCAGACAACCAGACTCAGGTTGAAATAAAAGTTCTTCAAGGTGAACGTCACATGGCAGCCGACAATAAGATTTTGGGGGAGTTTGATCTTGTTGGTATTCCAGCACCTAGAGGCTTGCCACAAATTGAAGTCACATTCGACATAGATGCCAATGGGATTGTAACTGTTTCTGCCAAGGATAAGGCAACGGGAAAAGAACAGCAAATCACGATCCGATCATCTGGCGGTCTTTCAGAGGATGAGATTGATAAGATGGTGAAGGAGGCTGAATTGCATGCTCATAAGGATGAGGAGAGAAGAGCTTTGATTGACTTGAGAAATAGTGCTGACACGAGCATATACAGTATCGAGAAGAGCTTGAATGAGCACAGAGACAAGATTCCAAATGAGATTGCATCAGAGATAGAGTCTGCATTGGCGGATTTGAGGAAGGCAATGGCAGGGGACAGTGTAGATGAAATCAAGGCTAAAATGGATGCTGCCAATAAGGCTGTTTCAAAGATTGGAGAGCACATGAGCAAGGGTTCCGGTTCCGGTTCCGGTGGTGATGGTTCCTCTGGAGGGTCGTCGGCTGATGATCAGACTCCCAAAGCAGAATATCAGGAGGCCAAGAAATAGAACACATGGTAGCTGACATTATGTTTCATCCAATTATTAATTTGATCAAATGATTCAACATTGTTTTATAGATGTTAACATAAAAAAGAAAAACTCAAGCAGCAGGATTGTGGATGCAATCCTTGGACTATTTCGATTTACATGTCAAACGTGCAGTTTGCCCATGCTTCCATATTATGTTTTGTATGTCATGAATGACACTTCTATTTGAGAATGAAGTTGACACAAATATATGAATATTCTTTGTGTAACAAAAATAAGTACTCAAACTATATATTTTTCGTGGTGCTCAATCTTCTTTCTAGTCAATCTAGGTGTTTAATTTTTAGGTGTCTTGATTGTAACGACCTTTAAAAAATTTAAAAAAATAAAAAAATTATATTTAAAGAAAATCTTAATTTCTCTTAAATAACAAAAAAGCTTCGAATCCCTAAAAATTCTAAATCCCTAAATTTAACCCGTTGAATCTTCATGTTTCAGTAGATTTTTATGGGGTTATTGATTGTCGGATAGAGGTTCAACGGCAACAAATGTAGGTGGTCGGCGTGAGCTTAGGTCTTGAAATTTGAGTTTTCAAAATTTTGGTTTTTTTTTTAAAGTTTTTTGAAAATTTTGGGGTTTTTTAAAATATAATATAATTTTTTTTATTTTAAATAAAACTTTCAAAAAAACTAAAATGTGACACGATTCACTTAACTGACTTTTTAACAATCGTTACAGACGAGGTACATAAAATGATAATGTCTGTAACATTAGCCAACTAAATGACGAAAAAAGTTTAGACACCACTTTAAGAAAAACAAGTTATAGTTTGAAAATTTATTTTTATATCAAACTTTTAACACATTTTCTGTTATGAGGCCCCTTACCGACTCTTCTAATTCAGTCGAGCTCGATCCCTAATTTTATTCTTGGAAAGCCAAAGAAACTGTAATATAATACCAATGGAAAACATCATCCAGTATGAAACAATTTGCACTGTAAATAGAAAATAACACGCAATACAAATTTCTTAGGGCTCTTGACAGCATCATTAAGTTTCAATCAACACTGGGTGCACCAAATCTTCTAATGTTAGAACATGTTCCCCGAGGGGCAATATCCTTTCCCCTTCTTGGTCCACAATGCTAAGGTGGATACAAGGATTTACTAAAATGCTTGTTTCTGTGAATCCGAATGAACTAGTATGCACGCGATCGAATGCAATTAATTGCTTCTCTGGAGTTCCCTCAAAATTTTTCGGCGCTCTGGAGAACAACATGATGACATGGCTTCCGTCCATATCTCCTACATTAGCTACCGATATATGCACGTAGAATCCCAATGAATCACATGATGTCACCTCATCGACGCGTATATAATCGAGTTCTCGTCTCTGGTGCAATATAGTCTTAATTGAAGTGCCTGTCAAGGACCTGGATAAACTTAATTTTCTTGGAGCATACAAGAGTTTGTGGGTGAAATTTGTATAGCTTAAGCCTCGGCCGAAGCCATAGACTCTATTTCCAGTGTAAAACCGGTAGGTTCTCCCTGGAAAACCACGGAAAGGATCAGCACGCATATGCATATCATTCATAGCAACCTTTGTAAATGATTCGGGATACCAAGTCATCGGAAGCCTTCCACCTGTTTTCACATATCCAACATCCCATTATTAGTTGCATTACATTCATCAAGACATAGCTGACTTGTGTTCGGCAACTATTCTCTCAATGCTGGATTTTCAACCACCAAATGCCATAAATAATGAACTTTAGATTCCATGCAGTGTTTAGATGCCAGTTAATGAATTGAGTGATAGTTAAGTGGCAACCAACCTGGGTTAAAATCACCAAAGACGACATCTGCAAGTGCCTTTCCGCCAGCTTCCCCAGGGTATCCAACCCAGAGAATACTTGCAACATTCGGGTTTCCTTCTGCAAACGATACATCAAGGGGTCCCCCACCGGTAAGAACAAGAATTATTGGTCTATCACTTGCTGCAGCAACAGAAGACACCAGGGCCATCTGTTTACCAGGAAGGAGAAGACTAACTCGGTCAAGATCTTCAGTTTCTTGGGACAAATCCAGCCCAGCAACTACAATCACAAAGTCAGCTTCCTTGGCAGTAAGAATTGCTTCATTAAACCTAGCATCAGACTCGCAAGGCACATCAGAGCAACCAGAAGCGAAAGATGCCTTCTTTACACAGCCTTGCAGTCCCTCAAAAAAGCTCTTTGGTTCACATGGAACACCTGCCATATGAAGGACATCAAACAATCATTAATACAAATTCCACGTCGTGTGAGAACTCTACAAAGTGTAGAAACCCAGTAACAAAGTGAGGTTAGCAATACTTCAATCAGCACTCTGGGTGATTCACATTCATTATGACTTGAATCAAATATTAGGAGACATGGTAAGGCCCGAGCAAGATAGTCTCCAGTAGCTTGCCATGTTACAATGCTTCATATAGCAGACAATCATTTATCTCAATTGAACAGTCCAAAAGTTAAAAAAGACTACGGAAGCTGATATAAACCTCCAAGAATTAAACATTATTGCATAAGCCATACCTGTGTAGCCACCACCCATATTGCTTATGTTGTTAGCCATTGGACCAATAACAGCTAAGGAAGAAACAGCATTTCTATTCAGTGGCAGGAATGTTTTATCGTTCTTCAGCAGAACGATTCCCTGCCTTGCTGCTTCAAGTGCCAGCATCTTGTGCTCTGTGGTACAAATGTCTTGAGGTCCCAACTCCCCAAACTGCCCATTTCTGGGGTCTCCATCAAACAGCCCAAGACGGAGTTGAACCGAGAAAAGATTCAGAAGGGCTCTATCAATGTCTTTTTCTTGCAACTTCCCTTCCTCAATTGTATTCCGAGTATGTCGAACGAGATATGTTCCACAGTTAATATCCATTCCTACAGACAACCAACTTAATCTTAATCCTTAAAATGAACATTCCAATGGCAGATCTAGCCAAAATTCATTAACCAGGAAACCTGCTTTAAGAACAAGAGCAACAGCATCCTCGGGCTTTCTTGTGTAATTTTGGTATTCTTGAATCGTTGCCACAGCATCACAGTCTGAGGTGATATATCTGAATTATGCCACAAAAGGATCCCAGAAACGTTTAACGAGTACCAACCAATTAAGGTTGAATTTCAAAATTTTCATTTGTCAATGTATAAGCAACTACTAATTTGTTTTACCCTTTGAAGCCCCATCCATTTCGAGCTTTCTGTAAAAGATCTCCACGTGCACAAGCCGGCACCCCATCGACCGCATTGTAGGAACACATCAAGCAGTTCGCCTTACCTTGTTGTATACAACTACGAAATGGCGGCTCATATGAATCCTCCATATCTTGCTTAGTAACCTTCAATACAGATATAGTAGGCATATATTACCAAACTGCCTAAATGACTTCAAAAGGAGGCTTGTCACAAGTCAGAACTAACTATTGATTTAGAACAATAAACATAGATAAATCAATTAAAAAACATACAATCGGTTTGCAAAATTTCATATTCACAGAGATAAGTTGAGCTAAATTTATTTGAAATGGCACAAAACAGAGTTTCTGAATAAAAAAATGTAAAAGGGAAGACTTTACCATGGCATTGAAGCTGTATCTGCTGAAATTCATCCACTTCTCCAAGTCATACGCAATGAAATGCTTGCAACAAGCAGAATTCATAAGTCTATCATCGTCATCTTCATCATCATATCCTCCTCTAAGTTCCCTCTTTCTCCCAAACCTATCTCTGAGTTCTCTACTACCTCTCCAAGACCCACCCTGGAAACCATTCACAAATTCAACAGCATAAGCTGAAACAATCATGGGATCCTCACCAGGGGTCTCCTGCCCTCTTCCCCATCTGGGGTCCCTGAAAATATTAATATTGGGTGCCCAAAAAGTCAAACCAGCTTGTCCAACATTATACATGGCTTTGGCCTCGACACCTATGGCTAACCCAATCTTGAACCAAAGGGTTCTATTGAAAGAAGCAGCTGTGAGAAGAACCTGAGGGAAACTTGTTGCTGCTTTAACACGGCCATCAAAGGTAACTCCAGGGCCATTACTGGCAATCCCATGAAGAGACTCTGACCACCATTGATAAGGGGGAATCCCAAGTCTTGGGATTCCTGAAGCATTGTTGGACAATTGATGGATCTTTTCTTCAAGGGTGAGAAGAGAAATGAGAGATTGAGATCTGTCTGTGATGGACAGGGAAGTGTTGCAGAAGGGGTAGGAGTTAAAGTAGGGAGCTTGGCATGGGAACTGTGGGTTTGGGTCTGATGATGGGATTGAAATCAGTAAAGCCAAAACTTGTAAGAAGAAGAAGACAGATCTTTGTTGCAGAAACATGGGTGCTTTGGTACTCACTGCTCAGATTGACTGTCTGAGTTTCTTTTGTTTACCTAACAAGAGATCATTGCTGAAGCGAGATAAGAATGGTTGGTAGGTTTAAGCAGAACACCATGTGGATTTGGAGGAAGATTGAATTGGAATGTGGATGGTGAAGTTTTTTTTATTATGCATATATATCGTGTTATATATATACACACACATGAAGAAAGCTAAATTGGGTGCATTGTGAAATATACAAGTTCTGGTTGTTGTCATTTACTCTTTATATCGTTTTAAAAAATCTGCTGATAATCCTATTATTTGTCTGGGGGAGTGCGTTGGGCCTTTTTACTCATCATAAAATAATAATAAATTACAATTTTAATATTTATCGTAAATTATTTGTCAATCTAACATTATTTTGTATCACAAAATCAGAAAATATATTTTGTAGGAAATTTTATTCGGAAGACACTTTTTATAAGAATCATTTTTAGGTTACGTAACATGAAATGGTCAAAACTCTGTATCATACAATTGTGAAGGCATAATGCCAAAATTAACCTATCAACGTTTATTACAATGATAATTTTGTCTTATATTCTATTTTTAAAGCATTTTGATCTCTAATATTTTATTTTAGGATAATTTTTTTTTAATATTTACATAATAATTATTTGTCACTTATTCTTTTTTCTAGGACATTTTAACCATCAACGTTTTATTTTAGATTAAAAAATTCTTATTTTAGAGTATTAATTGTGTATTAACTAATAACTTTCATCTATAGAAGGATCCTTTTACCCCAAGGTGAAACTTTGCCAAAATGTTTTAAAAAATAATAGAGAACATAATAACCATTTTGTTAAATGTTGGAGAATATTTTTGGCATTATATCAATTGTAAAAGAACTGACAGTAAATTTACACAAACACTAATCACACGTATTCGTTTAGTTTGAATAAAATTTATATTATTTTTTCAAATTTTTATCTTTATTTTTTTATTTTTCTCATTTCAATTCAACTTTAAAAATTTAATCTTTTTGTATCATGTAAACGGAAGATGTTTTCTATAAAAAGCATCTTTCGTAAAGAGTTTCTTGTAAGAAGTATTTTCCACTTAAGTGACAAAAAAATGTATTAGATTGAAAATAATTTAGAATAAATGTTAAAATGAAAAATAATTTTCAAGTATATTTGAGTAAAAAAATAAACAAAAACAAAACCGTGTGTTGGGCTATGGGTTCGTCTTTCATGTGTTATTGTCTTCATATAATGTGAATGATACATAGCCAACACACTCTGCATGGTGTTTGACCGCACAATCACCGTATGAACCACCACAAACCTTCCTCTCATGGATAAATTGAGGAGCTGATGGTGGCGATTATTTTAAATTTTTTAAAATTTTATATAATAATTTTTTTATTTATCACCCATAAAATTTTATAAATTTGTCAATTCTAACCTAAAATTATGCACAGTATAAAAGCAATACTATCAATCTCTTTTGTATAAAACACCACGGATCATTTAGCGTGTAGAAAAGATAGAGAATAATCTTTTTTGAAATTATATTACCATGTTTGGTTCATGAAAAAAATTATTATCACAATAACTTGTTACTAATAGTAAAAAGAATCTCAAAATATTAAAAACTTTAATTCTATATCCCAAACCCAAAACAAAAGCTATTATTACCATGGTCTTGGTCTCCATCATCGATGAACAATTACTCGATGACCAGTCGTCGTCTTAATCCCTTGATATTTTAAACTTAAATCCCTAACATTCAAAATATTCAACCTAAATATCCCTTAATATATTTGGCCGACCGAAACAATAAGGTAATTGACCATTTGGGCCAAACTACCACCTACAATATGCTACAATCTGTTGCAAAGTTGAGGGAGGAGATGTTGCAGGAAATGTGAGGGGGAAGGGGGAGGGCGATGACGCAAGGTTAATAAGGATTTAGTTTTTTTTTTGAAAAAAAAGTTTTTAAAATAATATTTTAATTTTTAAAATGTTTAAAAATTATATAGATGTGATACGCATAACTTAACAGACTTTTTAAACGACCATTAAAATCGAGATACTTAAAATGACAACGTTTGTAATGTTGACCACCTAGATTGATCGATAATTTAGGCACTTAAATGGAAAAAATATATAGTTTAGACAATTTTTTACATTAATCTTTATTGTTACACGGGGATTTAATTTAATAATGTGTAAACTACACGCGTACCTAAATTGTTATTGTTATTTTGTTTTGGTATCTAAATTTTTTTCTTCAAAATCATACATAACATTTAGTTTAGGTTTTATTTTGGTTCGCGCGTTAAAAATTTAACCGAACTGTTGTATATGGCTTTTTATGACTAAATTATATCATTCATCACTCAGCTATCTTCACTCCTATTTTGGTCACTAAATTTTATAACTTTTCAATTTAACTACTAAACTTTCAAATTATTCATGTTTTAATCACTCTAATTATTTTTTTAATAATTTTTATGAAATGATATTTTTTTATTTTATTAATATATAATTAAAATAAAAAATTAAATTTGAAAGTTAGAGTGATTAAATTAGTAGTAATTTAAAAGTTAAGTAATTAAACTAAAAAAAATTAAACTCTAGTGACCAAAATAGGAGTGATAATATGATTGAGTGATGAATGATATTATCATAACAATTTTTTAGGTGAAACAATTATTTATTATTTTAAAAAACAATTATGACTTTATTTTTGGAAAAAATGATGATTTTAAATTAAATTGGATAGTGTCGCCATCTACCTTTGGGTTAGGTAGGTCGAATACCTAAAAACGTCTTTTAAATTTTGTTTTTAAGAAAAATCATTTTAAGACAAAAAACTAGTCTGCGTCACCAAAGATTCGATTAAATGGATTCGGAAGTCGGTTACTAGTGGGGAAAGATTAGCACCCCCACAACGCCCAAATTTTGGTACCTAAACGATTATACAATGTTTAAATATTGAGAATTATAAACTCAAAAATATATTTAAATTACAATCCTTTTATTCATTCGAATTTATTTAAAAAGTGTGAACAATCAATGGGAACACACTTCCTTTGTAGTTAGGAGGTTTTCCCATAGATTCCCCACACAAAAACGTTATTTCGCAAATTTCTCAAAGACAAAATAAAATGGAATAAAAGTAAAAAAAATAGTGGAAAATACTTGAAATAAATAAACGTGGTACAAATAAAATTATTGAATATAAAACAATATCTATGCGAAAAATCCTCGAAAAAATACATTCCCTTTAGTTGGGAAATATCTTCATAGATTTCCCACATTGAAAATTTCTTTTTATTTTTGTATATTAAAACCATGATAATTTATAAACAAAATGGAAATAAAATTTCCTACAAGGAACGCATTCAACAATTACATGATTTATATACAAACATATATGAAATTATAATGATTGATAAACATCAAAATTACAAATCTGTATCAAAATATACATTTACAAACATGATAAAATAAAATACTAATAAAAGTATTTATTCATGACTAAATAAAAAATAGAAAGTTAAAGGGCCAAAATAGTAATAACATAAAGTTAAAGGACTTAAAAAAGTAAAAATGGAAAGTTAATGGGCTAAAATGGTATTAACAGAAACTAAAAGGGTAAACAATAATTACAAAATAAACTAGAGCTAAAATCACAAACACTAAATAGTACAAGTACTAAAAATAAAAATAATCCATTTTAGGACTAAAATGAAATAAACAAAGAAAAACATAAAGGGTCGAACCAAAATTAAGCCAAATGTCAACAATGACTAAAATAAAATATCTACAAAAATAAATTATACACACGTTATTGCATATGATTGATGCAAGGGTTAGGTATGATGAAAAGTGCATTCTTTTCCTTTTTTGTTTTACTATAAGAAATAATCAAACATTAACGTATGCTGAATTCAATTTAAAAGTTTGGTGGGGTATGAGGGCCATAAAATAATGGTGCACAAGGAAAATAGTATTGTAACTGTTCTTAGTTGGACTTAATTGTGGGATTTCATGTTGAAATAAAAATGCTATGCCTTTGGACTTGTTTTCTTATAGATAATTTTTTTTATCAAACAGTAAAAATAATATCATACTATTTAATAATAAGACTAAATTACAACATATATAAAATAAGAGATCAAAGTAAATTATTTTAAAGTTGCATCGTGGCTAAAAATGATAAAATTAAAACTAAGGAGGACCTTTTTCGTAAATAAACTAAATGCTCCTTAGGTCCCCTTAAAACGATGTAGTTTCATGCCTAATATATATATAGGATAACAAAGGCCAAAAAATGGCAATTCCCTCTTTTTTTCATTTCTGCGAAATAGAGAAGGAAAGAGAGAGAGAATACTCTCTCAACTCTTACCATAGAAAATAGAATTGACCACCGACGATGGCGCCTACGACGGCGCTCATGACGGCGCACGGTGGCGTTGAGACCGAATTACCCCAATCGGTTCCTCTCTTTCCCCTATAACTGAAACCCAACCTAGTTTTACCTAAAAACCACCATAGCCTCGTAGATCTAGGTTTTATATTTCAATATTTTGAAAAAAATGGAGACCTTAGGCTTTTAGGTTTCAAACGGAGGTAGGGTTTTTCTCTCTGTTTATTATTTGGTTTTCCTTTTTTAACCCGAATTTTTTCTCTCCGAAAATGTTTCTGTTTTCCCCTGAATCCGTCTATTTATGATTGGATGTAATGGCGGATTGGGTGAAATCAAATTCGAATTTTTCGGGATTTAGATCACTTTTCTTTTCTCTTTTGACTTTGGTGATGATTCGGTGGATGTTGAATGATTTGGGTGCACTGTTCGTAGGTGGATGATGAAAATGACTGTTGGTGGTGGCTCGATGACTCTACACAGCTCGTTGGTGGCTTAACGGTCGGCTCACTCGCTAATGGGTACGGGCGGTGTAGTCCAAGCGCCAATGGAAGCTGAACAGTTACGTTGATTGACTTTGGTTTAGGGTTTTAGAAACCCTAAATTATTAAAACATTACATGGGCCAGTTTGGGTCTTGGGCCTCGGGTCTGGATCTGGGTTTGCTGGGCTGCAAAATGTAAAATGTGTAATTAATAATAATAATAATAATAATAATTTTTTCAACCCGGATAAA